GAAAAAAACTGATGAGTTAACCTATAAAGACAATCACAGTAGAAAAGAAGCTAGATACATACCCTCCAACATACTAGTTCCTATTAATACAGTTAAGGGAAGATCTCAGAAAAGTTTATGGCTTTTATGGTAGTGTTGGAGTGATAGTGTAATCATGATGGGCCAGGAAAAAATGGAAGAGGCAAGGATTTTGGTGGATGATATATTTTAATGTACCCACTGTATAGTTGGGAGGGACAGACAAGTTTTCACGTACCATAGTACCCTTTCTAAGGTCCTGTACTGGCCAAAACCTTATTTAGTAAAATGTACCACTCACTTAAATTCTTGCCTCTTGCACTTATGCTATTTTCCTTATGCGGGAACTAGCTAACACTGGTATAGTGTCCTTTTTTACATGTGCTGAAATCAATGGCATGAAAAAATCCTGACATCACTAAAAATAGAATAGAAAAAAAAATGTGATGATTAGATCCCAGTGTCTTCTACATAAATGGTCTTATTCCCTTCAGATATAGACTGCACATGAGTTTGAATTAAGATTTGATCATATAAAAGGTTTGAAGTTGAAGTGGCAAGTCATTTTTGTGATAGGAGACAAAGAATTGTTCGACAAAGCCAACATTTCACATTCAAAGCTCAAGTCCAGAAGGGATTATGATTTTATAATATGACCTCCTGCACAACACAGGCTATAAATTTCCCTTCGTTATTACTCCAACAGGCTTTTAACTTCCCATTGAGCTAGCTGTGCCTTTCATAAACCCATCGCACTTTGATTTAAAGACTTCATGTAACAAAGAATCCACCAAATGTTGATGCAACTGTTCTGAGTATTAAAAAAAACTGTGCCTTACTCCAAATCTAAACCTATCAAGCTTCAGCTTTTAGTTACTGAATCTTGTTCTGCCTTTGTCTGCTAAATTAAATAGCCCTCTACCAGCAGAAATCTTCTCGCCAAATAGGTACCTGTAAGAGTGTGATAAAGCCACCTTTTAACCTTCCCTTCAATAAGCTAAAAAGAATGAGCTGTTTTTGTCTATTACCACTAAGCTGGGTTTTCAAACCTAGGAACATCATTTTCTCTGAACCTTTTCAAATTTATCATCAACAAGCTTTCTGAAGTACAGATGCCAAAAGTTTACACCAAAATGCTCCTGCCTAGTGCTATATGCAGAGATAAAACTATCCCATGACTTCTAGTCATTATTTCCCAGGGTGAATAAAAATCAATTTTTTTTCAATAATAAAAAAACAGATTTTTTTATTTAATTGCATTTTTAATTTTTTTTTTTTTTTTGTTAAGAAGCTTTAAAAAATAAACCTATTAAAAGATAGTTTCAACTGAAGATATGTTAAATCTCAAAGATATCACCATGGAATAGGGATTATAACTTCTAATTATATACTATTTGAGACAATATATTCATGTAACCTTTTAACAAAAGTTTTATAAATAGATCACAACAGGCAATGGACTATATTACAGGCCAAATCTTATTTGGTTCCTGGAGGCTCCTCCATAGATTCAATTAAATTTCAATTTATTAAGGATTCTGGCTAAATGCCATGCTTCCAAAAAAGACGACACATTCAACCATAACAAATAAGTTTGAACAAAGTAACCAAACTACAAACATTATACTAAAAATAGAGCCCACCAACATAAAAACATTATTAATATAAGTATAGTAGTAAATCAAGACATGGATCTATATTATTGTTGTACACAGATCCACAATTGAGACAATACAATAAAATCTAATGTTAAAATGTATCACTCATATCAGTAATAAAGGATACTTAACTCTAATCACCTCAGCTTTATAAGCTGAAACTGCAAGACAGTATACTAAATTTGGACCCATTTGCTGTAAAAGCCAGATTAATTTATCTCTGTTTGAAAAATATATCAATTTCTGCAAGAACAGTAATAAATAAGGTGTCCTTATGTTATCATATAAAGAACATTCTAAAACATAGTGGATAGTATCTCCCAAAACTCCTGGGCATACTGGGCAACATATTTTAGCCTTTTGGAATGGAAAATCTACATCCAGCCAGAACAGCTGTGACTATCTGTTTGGTCCCGAGTCTAGTCAAAGAGGATTGCCATTTATTACTGAGATCCAACAGTAAATATACTTCTCCCCACAATCTAATTTCAAAAGAGTATATAAAGGGGTAATACAAGTAGCCCTAGCCACTGCAAAATCATTCTGCCTGGCAATATCTCATATCCTCCGATTGCTCCATAGATTAGTAAAGATTAAGAAAACCACTCTACCCAGCGGGACTCAGTGCTCAGTCTAGAAGATCGCATTAAGCATCTCTGTGATGCTTAGCTTCAGTTCTCAAACTGTGAATTTGTCTCTCCAGAGATAACATCCTTGTTAACAGCAGCATATGGAGATGAGAGCTAACAGACCTGATTTCCTACCCATCAGTCCTACCGTCTCTCTGCAAGTTTGCGTACACAGAATCAAGCTCTTACCTCTCTCTAAAAGTGCAGTTTCAAGAAGTCAAATGAATAGAGGATTGTTGGGGGTAGAGTAGATCTGGGCAAGGCAGAGGACTCTGGAGATAAATGAAAGGAAGGAGGGGCAATAGTAGAAACAAAAGAGAAAAATTTTGAGCACAATATTCCAGCAGTCTTGAGGGATAAGTATCTGAGTATAGCCTCTCCACTGACATGAGATCTAGTGAGGGAATGGTATGGTAGAAGGGGAAATCATGGCAGCAGACTTGCCAGGTGATAAAAAGAGATCCTGTTTGGGAATATTTTAATGAAGTTCCTCTACCTGTGGGTAAGACAGGCATGTATGCAAAATGCAAACAGTGCATTTGGTGATGGTTGTTACTGTCCTCCTAATACAGCATGGCAAAAACATCCCCCAAATATTCATGATTAATCTAGTGAATTGGAGTTAGTTTGCCTCCCAATGACTTCACAAGTATCTGCTTCATTTAGCTTTAGTAAATAAAATAACCAAATCATAATTCTATTTTCTGTTGTAGCTGCAAAATTAATCTGAAAAATATCAAAATAAATCACAGCTTTAAAATATATAGCACGTACCTTCTAAAAATGAAACGTACATCTCTGAGTTGTGAATAATATGTATTATTAAGGTTATACTAAACAACAAGAAAGTAGTTTTTGTACTAAACAACAATTAAAGGGTAAAGAGGCTGGGAAGCCCCCTTGGCTTACCAGAGGAGTCAAGGAATTCTTAAAAAAGGAAAAAGGTGGCTTACAGACAGTGGAAACAAGTGGTAGTCACCAAGGAGGAAGACACAAGTGTGAGAGGAATGAAGGCAAGAAGGTGTTAAAGGAAAGTTTAATTTGCCAGCAGGGGCTGGAACAGCCTGCAGAGCTGCTGGAATAAGGCCAGAAAAGACAAGAGGCGATACCCCGCCACCTTTTCAAGAAGCAGCTAGCATGCGCATGGGGAAGCTCAGCAGCTAAAAAGGGGCAAGAACAGCAGTTCAGGAGGGGACAGAGAGGAACGCTTAG